CTGAAACACAGATATTTGAAAATATCGAAGAAAAAAAAATAAATGGGAAAGAAAGAAAAATCACAAACAGGACGAAGAAGTAGAAGAAGGAGAAAAGGAAAAAAAATGGCAAAGAAACCAGAGTAGAGGAGGAGCCGTAACGAGAGAAAGGGTGTCTAAAGAATAATGTCAGAAGGGACCGGATACGAGTCCGGTGGACTCTTATTATTGCGTTTGCGTGCACGTAAGCCCGATCTTAGAGCGAAATCGCCAGCATACACACATCTCTCTACATCTGTCACGGGCACAAAGAATTTGAAACGAAAAGGACTGCCCTTTGCGCGCTCGTTTTTCTTCGTTCGTGCAATTAAAAACTCACGGTTAACACTGAGAACCGGAAGCGATCCAGATGGAACCGAATATCTGCGCTCTCCTCCCGTTCGTTTTAGAATTCTTCTTTCCTTTAGCCGAAATCTCAACACAGAACTCAAATATTAGATCCTGTACTTTAGTCAACGATATTTATCATTAATAATAAAATGTTTTGAAAACTGAATTGACATTCGAAGCGGCGTTACATTTAAATTTAATTTTCCATAATTTTCTTCGTTCTTCGGTAGTTCGGTACGATTTTTTGGCTAGGTTTTATAATTCCTTAGCCATAGTTCATTTCCATTTTCAGTTGTTTTTCAGTACAATACTCCATTTATACTATACTATTATATATATATATATATTTTTTTTTTTTTTTTTACTGTACTACTACAATATATATATATATATTTATACTATATTTAGATTGTTATTTCCTCGAACTGAAGATCCAACTGGAAGATGATGTCACAGACTTATGCAAATGTGCTAAAATTTTCCTTAACCTCTTACATGCATCCGAATTAGCTGTAATAATCACTAATTTAATTCACCACAGCCAGTTGAATATGAATTTATGCAAACTCGTGTTCTTTTTCATTTTTTTTTTTTTTAAACATATCCTTTGGTCACAAGGAGATTTCATCATTGAAATCTTTTTTTCTTTTTTACTGTTTCTCTCCTTCACTGGCGAGTTTGAATTCCTTTTAATTACCTAATTAACGAGAGCGTTCCTAAAAACTGATTTCATATTATTAAATTTAATTCTCTTTTGTGCGCGCTGTATCATTTTATTCACGCGCGACTTCATTATCGCGAAAATTTTCACCTGTTTTAGTAATCTCCAGCGGTCCCTGTGTTCAAATTCTAGAAATTCTTTGTCGGCGCTTACACACGGGGCTTACAAACGACGAATTACGCGAACGAGTTTTAACAAGTTGTAAAATACTTTCACGTTTCCATGATAGTTTGAATTTAATAATTGAATTATTCGGCCTTGCTCAACTGAAACAATGTGTGGAACAGGGTTTAATATAATTGCGTTAAATTACATTTTAAATGTATTCGTATTTCAATAACAGTAAATTACATTGAAATTCTTATTATTATTTCCTGTGCTCTTCTCGTATATCAATGGTGCAAAAAAAATATATATATATATACAGTGAGCAACGAAAGTATTCGAACGGTATGATAGAAAATAATTAATTATACAAAAATTGTCTAATAAATTGCAATTTATTGAAACAAATTGTTTTTATACTATTGCATATACATTTGCCAAATATATGCAAAGTTAGGGAAAAATTAAACCATAAGTATTTATTTATTTGTTTCAATCAATATACATATATACATAATAGTATATAATAATTAATATTATAATAATATATAATAATTAATATATATATATATATATATATATATATACACATATATATTAATAACTCTAGAATTCACTGAACACCCATAAAATAAATCTTAACTTTAGTTTCACGTTTTACTATAAAGTAGAGAGTGATAAAATAATTCTGTACGATACTCCTCTGCATCCTCTGGTCTTCATTGACAATCTACAGTGCAAAATTTCTAATCTCGAACTTGATGTTTTACAAAATAAAATCCATATGAAAATTCATATTTTTTCCTCGAGGAGTCCTTCAGACTAAAGACCAGTCGCAGTCGCTAACCCAATGCAACGAGCCTAAAACAAAGACAACACACGTGCATAATTGCCTTCAAGAATAAATTATACTCGATTGACCAATTAAATGTCCCTCGCGTTGCACGCGTAATTGCAGGGGAAGATCACGTTTTTTAAATTTATTCGCTGGTACTCTCGAACGAGGCTTAGGAGAGAAACACTCGGAGATGGGAGCTTCACGACGAAACGCGGGCATCTGTTCGTTGGCCACCTGTCGGCAGGTGCAAAACGTACAGCCCGTTACCTTCGACTCCGGTATCAATTGGCCCTTTTTGTTTCTGCTGCCGCCACCGGCCGTTCTCGATTTTACTACGTAGTACACCCGTGCGTACGACACGCGTACGCCCGCTCTCTCTCTCTCTCTCTCTCTTTCTCCTCCGGATGTTATCGACTCGTTCACAAACCTGTGGTGGTCCCCACTCCCCCTTCGAGTAAGACACTTTAAACTGCGGCCGTGTAAACAGGAAGTATCTTCCCCTCTTTCCCTCTTTCGTCTCTCCCTTTCGCCGACGCAGGTTACCAATAATTCTTCGGCAACACCTGCGCGCAGGGTTGAAACCTCCCTCTTCTTCTCGAGCCTGGCCCAATTTTTTCGCTGCCTTCTTCTCGTCTCGATCTTCTGGCGCTCCTATCGAACGAACTTACTTAAGCCTCTGTTACAATTGGATTCTCTGAAGTTATAGACTGACCTCTCCTGCGCTGGTAACTGGTTTTTCGCGGACCGTAACGAGTGACCAGACCGACAATTCTTTTTTTTTTTTTTTTTTTTTTTTTTTTTTTTTTTTTCGAATTCGTCGGGTCATATCACTGGATAGAAATTACCAACAAGTAATAAATTTATCATTTGCTTTGCCTGGTGATATTTCAATGTAAAACTGAGGAAATATTGTAACGTGTAATAGTTTTTAGAAATATTATAACATAAAATATTATAACATGTAATAGTTTTTATTTTATAATAGTGGCTATTATTTTTATGTTGATAATGTAGAGTGCTTGGTTCTCCAAAATGGCGGTCAATTAAAGTCGATGGGTAATTAGCACGATGATTGTCCGTGTGTGCATCTACGCGATGTAGGAATTATTTAGCGAGTATTGATTTAGAATGGGTAGAATGGGTATTGATCTCAATGAAACCCGCACTGGGGCAAAAATAACTGCGACCTCTGCTTCGAAAATGATTTTCTAAATCTTCGACCGACCGTCACACCGACGTTGCTCCGTTGAATTTACTAGCGATGATTTTTATTTTATTTGTTTATTTTTCAGTGTCAATTTTGTAATGGTAAAATTATTCGATTGAATAACGCCGCGGTGTTTTTTGTTTCAGGCCGCGATACTTCAGCAGACTGCCGAATACATATACCAGCTGGAACAAGAGAAAACCCAACTGCTGTCGCAGAACTGTCAATTGAAACGACTGGTGAATCAACACGAGGGTGGCGATGTTCCGATTAAGAAACGCAAACCGGACAATCAAGGTGAGAAAATCGTCTTATATCATCTTAGGCTCGATAAAGTTATAATTATATTGTGGAATTTACATTTAACGAAGAAATGTGATTTACCAACTTTGCCAAACGAGTAGTTCAATTTTTTACGAATCGACAAGGAAAGAATATTCCCTTTCGCAGAATAGAAACGTCACTCAACATCGGATATTAAAAAAAAAAAAAAAAATCGCGAAACAAATATTTTTACGACCATAAAATCAACACGTCTCGTTCGTACAATTGGAGAAGAAAAGACGCAATCTGACGAACGATCGCTAATTTACCGGCGTTCATTGGAATAACTTACTTTATGATGATACTGACTCATCGCGAAGATTCGTCGTGGAATTTTTTTTTAATTTGTCGGCCGAAAGTGCCGCGGGAGATTAATATAGGGAGGAGTCGTTCGTCATTTTCGCGGGAGTAATTACATTACAGGCTCTGCCGGATATTCTATTCCGTTCGCAAGGGGGGTAGAAAGTCGCAATTCGATCGATGGAATCGAAATTTCGTTTACTTTCCTTTGACTCTCTCGCGGCCGCGATTAAATTTTCAGTCTCACGCGTTCGACGAAATTGGATGAAAATTGCTCACGACTGGGCTAATTTATCACCGTCTGGACGTAATGTACATTTTATATATTCAGCATAAATACGCAAGTTTCACATCCGTGACTTTTATTATTTTATTCTTACACTTTTGTTTTCAAATTCAGAAGATCGTTCTCTTAATTGTCTTCCCTTTCTTTTTTATTTAGTTTCAATTCATCTCGTCGCGCCAATGTAGAAATTAACCCAAGCGTGTGTTCTGTACTATTAACGACCGGCTAATGGATCATTCGATGGAATTTGTTCGTTTCAGGAGGTGTCGTGGTCAGTTTACCCATGCACGTTAGCGAAAGCGGTGACGAAGGATTGGGCAGCATGTCCCCCGAACCATTGTCGGTAATAACGGTGACCACAGAGGGACATTCCGTGGTTAACAGCGAGGTGGTGGAGCTTAGACGACAGTTGGAAAGGGAGCGTCACGCGAGGTTGCATCTAGAGAAGCAGATGAGAGCTATACAGAGTCAACTGTATCCGGAGAGATTCAGGGACAATCAGCTGATCACTTATCAGCCTCACGAGGTAAAAATCGTCGAGATAACATTGCAACTTTTTAAACCTCTCGGAATCCCGTTTCAAAAAAAAAAAAAAAAAAAAAAAAAAATAAAAGTTAAAAAA